TCAGTCAGCTTTTGTTAGTTACTAGAGGTCCACAAATTCACATATACAGCTGCAACAATTAGCTGATTGACAGAAATGTAATTTAACATTTTGATCGTTAATTAATCATGACAGCAAGATTATAAATGGAAAGTCTTTGAACAAAATGAAGTTGGTGATGTTGATTTAGGCTCTGTGATAGACTAATGGGCATTTTATAGACCAAACATTTACCTGATTGATGAAGAAATTCATCAATTAGCAACTAAAAGATTCATCTTTGAGGAAAAGAATCACTGGTTGATTGCACACTGAGCATACAGATGGAGAACTGATTTTATGTTGCAGGAGTGGTTTGAGAGATTTAAATATTTAACCCTACGAACCTCAAAATCCACGTTTCAAAAGCTTGTTTTGTTCTAAACCATTTATCAGCGCCTGAAGTTGTAAAAACAGAAAGAATCATCAAACATTTTTCATAAGTCCTTGAGGTAATAATCTGTGACATTCCAATGGGAAACCTAACCAAAATTAAGCCTCAAATTGTGATATTACATTAAAACCAATATGCTATATGTCTCATTTAAAAGTGGCCAAAAATAAACAGTTTGCTTTACCAAAAAAAATAAAAAATAAGAAAATTCTCAGCTTCTCAGTGCAGCCGGAGAGCCATAAGTGACTCAACTGCGACCAACAGTCACATGACAAAAAAAAAATCTGACCTTTTTTGCAGACATGAGACAAGTACAGAAACAAATCAAACAGTGAACTAGTAAAAATATCTACAGCATTAGAGTCTCATTTCTTCCTAGTAATGTTAACACCGGTGGGCACTTGGAAAAATGCTGAACATGCTGATTGTATTTTTTTTCCCCACTTCCTTTTTAAAAAATAATTAAAGAAGTTAAACTTTCTTTTTTTATGTTTTATGAAATATATAGCTTTGTATTGCACTAAGGCATTTTTGAGTTTTCTCTACTTATAACTGTGTTTTAAAACACACAAAAAATAAAATAAAATAAAATAAATAAAAATATGACAGTGAGTAAAACTTTGACAAAAGCAAAAAGAAAACACCCGGAAACTGCTTGAGGGTTGGAGGGTTAAACTGTTAACTGTTACAGCAGACTCTCGTAACAGCAGTTTTGGATGATGAGTGAAAGAAAGTATTTCCAAAAATCCAACTCGGTCAAAGGTTGAGCGACTAAAAAAAAAAAAAAAAACTTTCATTCAAGTTTGCTCTGGCAGAAGAAAAGTTATGTTCATCACATGGGCTGACTATCTGTAAGCACCATCTGATATTGTTTGAAGAGAATAAAAAAAACTCTCCGCCACATCCTTCTTGGCTTTGCTGCTCTCTGACACTGATCACAAGCTGCTGTTCAGTGAGTTCTCCATTTAAAACCCCTTGTTCTCTGTGTTAAGAAGACAGTGTCTCTGACATAGTCTTTCTAAAAGTCTGCGTGTCATTTCCACAAGAGATTTTAAAGGTTAAAATAAAGCAAAGTGGGCTGCTACAGCTGTGGATGGAGACAGTAAAACGCCTTTTATCATAAACTATTTGGTTTTCAGTGGAAAGCCCTGTAACTCGCAGCTGAATGTAATTGACTAAAATATCTTATTAGTGTTGCAGATTCAAATCTGACTTCCCCTTTTTCTGTCATGACAAGGCAGAATGAAGACAAAGAGGGGAAAATGTCAGTGTCAAAAGCTTCTGCTGAACATTTTGCCGAACTAATAAGCATCCGCTTTCCGGCTCGTCAATTTTCATCCTGCATTTGGTTACATCAGCCCTACTCATCATTTAGAGACAGTAACAATATGATCATTATGACCTCCGTTGCATCAGGAAGGCTCGGATACAAAACATTTAGGCCAGAGATGCTAAAATAATCTTCCGCTTCTGAATCACCAACACTTGCAGTCAAAATCGAAGGGGCAGAAGGTCGGAGCTTTAAAACTGTGATACTACAAACATTAGGTAAGAAAGAAGCGGTTGAAAATGTAACAAAAGGGAAAAGAAAAATCAGAGTGATCAGTCAAATGTGGCAAGAGAGAGACGGGATCTTTTTCAGGTTGCTTGTGTCCCATCAGTCCATCCTCACTATGAAGGACACTGATGCCACTGTTTTATACACAGACTGCCAGATCTTTGAAAGACATAAATGCCATTTCTTCTTTTGGGTTTCTTACAATACCAATAAAAACAGACCACCAACATGTATCTCGCTGGAATCACACAAACACCCTCCATGCAGTTCTTTGACAACTATGTGACTGTCAAACAACTAAGTAAAGCCAAGAGGCAAAGCGCATCCAAATACTCCTCGTATGTGTGTGTGAGACCTTGCAGAGGAATCCTCTTTCTCCCCGAGCTCTGGGGAAGTGATACTCTGCTCCAGCCGGACAAATGGCTCGAAGACCAACAAACAACCAAACACACACACCTGATGGAGCAAACTGTTGCTAAGTCACTCACTCAATCACACAGATTTTGTGGCGCCGATAGGAGGATTTGTAATTCCAGACGTGAAATACTTTCATTTTTCCTCCATCCATGCCCCAGTTCTAGGATATAAGGGTGCATAGGTGCCTGCAACACACACACCTACCACCCGCCCCTTCCTCTCCAGAGACACTGAGGACCCCTACTGTGCAACGGATGCCTCCTGCCCTAAAGGACACTATTGACCCATTACATATATACACGGGCTAATTACCAGCCAAACCCCTGCTGTGTTGAAAAGCACCTCTTCCATCCCACAGCATATAGAGGGTTACATCCGAATGTTTCACTGTTGCTAGGAGACGTGAAAATCCTTGAGCATCCAGTTGGCTGTTAATACAGTGGAGAAAAAAAAAAAACAGACTTCAAGCAAATTGAAAAAAAAAATATATAAAAATACAAATGCCAAAAGCACCTCCACATTTTTGTCATGTTTCTGGTTATGTCGCTTCCTGTGGCAGCTGATGCTGAATCTGTCTCTACTGTACAGTACGGAGGACAATGATGGACAAAATATTGATTGTAGGAAGAGGGTACAGATTTTTGCATTTATTCAAAAAATACAATTAGTGATGTTTAGCTGGAGACACAAATAAAATATCTGATAGTAAACTAATGCTGTAGGGTTGTGTTATTCCCTTTAAATAGGAAGCGTATAGTCTTGGAGAACAAGTTTCTCAGTGAGTGTGGTGCATCAAATGACACCGAGTACTTTAGTACTCATGAACTTTATTTGTTTTTTAACCACACAATCAAAAATATATTATCTAAATGATCCAAAAAACAGAACTTTTTACTTTATCCTCCATTAGGAGAGCTGGGAGGCGATTTTAAGCCTCATAACACAGCATTTGCTTGCTCACTTATCGATGTTTGGCTGAGACACCTGGATAGAGAGTGAGGGGTGAGGACATTGGGGTGAGATAGAGCATCATGCTCTATCACTGGACTGTGTGCAATATTTAGGCACTTTGGTGAATTTTGTTTCTGTATCCAGTGTTATTATTATCCATCCATTTTCTATATACCGCTTAATCCTCATTAGGGTCGCGGGGGGGCTGGAGCCTATCCCAGCCGACTTAGGGCGAAGGCAGGGGACACCCTGGACAGGTCACCAGTCTATCACAGGGCCACACTTAGAGACAGACAACCAAGCACACTCACATTCACACCTACGGACAATTTAGAATCACCAGTTAACCTCAACATGTTTTTGGACTGTGTGGTAGGAAGCCGGAGAACCTGGAGAGAACCCACGCTGCACGGAGAGAACATGCAAACTCCACGCAGAAAGATTCCGGTGCCCCCACCGGGACGCCAACCGGCAACCTTCTTGCTGCGAGGCAACAGTGCTACCAACTGCGCCACCTTGCAGCCCGTTATTATTATTATTATTATTATTACTATTGTTGAATATTTACTGTTGTTGCTGATGTTGTGTTGGTGTTGTGTTGTTTTTCTAGTATAACAATCTCCCTGAGGTTTACACCGAAGGCATCAATAAAGTTTTATTCTGTTCTATTCTAGAACAGAAACATTGCTAATGTTGTCATGTTTGCTTTCCCCACTATGACAAGTGAAAACATCTGCTGTGAAAAACGCCCATCAGTTTAAATTTACATGTTTAACTTCTTTAAGAGGAAATGCCTTTTGATGATTCAGCTGGGAGTGTTTCAGAGTCTCTAGGCATAATAAATAGGATATTTATGTATTTCCTAAGCCTTGGTCACCTTCCTGCTGTCCATAAGTGTACCTACACCTACAGGATGGTTCACTCGATGAATTAATCACAAAAGTCCTGCCTCCACTTACAGACTTCCAGCCTCAGTTGCAAAATATATCTTTTGCCAAATATACTTTTTCCCCCACTCATTTCTGACGAAGGCGGAAACATTTTACTAGATAGTTCTATTCATACCTCGTGAGGCAACTGGATTCTCATGAGATTCGCGAGATCACGATCACAAGAATTCATCATTTCAGGCTTCAAGCTACGTGCTTGCGACCGATGCATTGTTGGTCGGATCGACCCTGCGTCCTGTGAGGACCCACTGGCAGCTACAGGCGTGTTTTAGGTTTGACGTAGTCCGTAGTAGACAGCGATAGACAGATGATTCATCTAATCACCTGCCAAGTATTTTTTTTTGAAAGTGCCTACCCTTTTCTAAACAGTTTCTTCGGACGACTTCTCAGATGGTTCTGTGTAACAAACCATCTGGCACGTCTGGTAAACTCTGTTCATGGGAAAAGCTAAATCCACAGCTGTATTTACCCAACAACTTCCACTGTCTTTAACAAAGACACAGAATGTCCTCTGGTGTTTAACAATAACCCATCCAGTATATTGCAAGAGGTCAAAGCTGCTATTGTCCATTGCTTTTATTCATCAGAATGTATTCACTCAGTGGGAAGACAAGAAAAAAGAAAGTCGAGGGAATAAAGTTGACATTTGATCATTAAACATGAAGCACCACCAACTAGTGTGTATGTGTATATGCACATGTGGTCGACCTACCTTGACACTGGAATCCCTGCTTGCCAAAACCCCTGTGGAGAGAACACACACAGAGTTAAAAACTGTACATGCACACACACAAATGAGAGTTCCCTCTGAAGATATTTGCATAGAGGCCAATTCAAAATGTCGCCATTTTTATGTTGCATGAAAGTTGTCCATCCAAAAGCGCAAATTAAAGTCATGCACACAAACCAGCACATACCTACTGAAGCAGGGAGGTCATTTGATTATTGTGTAAACAGCGAAGTGCATGAGGCAACTTAGGCTAACACCTAGTCAACACTCTAACATACTGTTTTGTTGTAAAGCTGCCCCAGGGCAAAAATGGTCAACCACACCTAGTCAATGGTATGGGGATTGCTGGGATGCCTGCAGGTGCACACACACACACACATGCATGAGCACACACTCAGCCCAGCTCATTTTCATATTGTGCCTACAAATAGATCATCTCTCTGGGTGTGGAACCACTCAGCGATCTTATTGTACTTTTTCATTATGCTTTAGCTTATTGACCCAGATAGATAGATAGACAGATAGACAGATAGATGGATAGACAGATAGATGGATAGACAGGTCAAACAATTACACTGGGTGCACAATGTTCCTCTTTTTAGGTTTATTTACAACCAGCGAGACCATCCCATCACAGTCTCATGAACACAATCTTTTAGGTCAAATCATTTAGCCATTCACAAATTAAAAAGCTTGTCGCAGGACTTTAATAACGGCCGTTTTGGGAATAGTGCACGGCGCAGATAATAATAAACGGGACAAATTAGGCCAAACCGGAGCCCGAAATTCATTTAATAATGTGAGCATGTCACTGTCTAGTAAAAATCCCAGTTGGGCTGCAGAGGTGACATGTCTGCACAGGTGAGAGGAGAGGAAGGAAGGAAGGAGGGAGGTGGAGGAGGAGGAGGAGGAGGAGAAGGAGCTGGAGGAGGCGGAAAAAGCTAGTGTCAGCGTTTGAAACACTTCATGTTACCACTCAGGTTAGCTCCGCTGGCTGCCGTTCATTGCTTTTTGCTTTTGGAGAACATGCTTTATTTCCTCTCAGCCTCTCAGTTTCCTCTGCCTACTTAATACCATCAAACAATGGTCTGCTGCCATTCCTTCCTCTCTGGTGCGGCCCACATATTTCTGAGTCTTCCCTCCTGCCCTACCTGACACATATAGTATCAACAAGTACCAGAATAAAGCTTGAAATCGATGTTTATTTCCGAGGAAACTGCAACCCTCCCACTTTGTTTATTCAGGCTGTATAACTTAATGATGTAATACTATCAAACGCTGGAGTCCACTGCCATTTTGTGGGGGTTTATTTCATATTAGTGGGCTTCATCTCTGTGCACTAAGCTCAATTTAACCTGTAGTTTCCTGCTTTGTGCATCCCAACTTTGAACTGGTGCACACACCCATGCCTGAACTTACAAAAAAACAACAACATATATTATTTAAACAAGCTATAGAGTATATTTTGGCATCTGTGCATTTTTTAATCCTGCAACAGCGCATGCAGTGACCCGGCTGAGCTCACCAGATGAAGTCGGTGCAGTGGCTGCAGAAGGTGGGCTGCTTGAAGAAGCGCGCGATGAATTTGTGGTCCTTCACCTCGTGCACGTTCTTCTGCCGGAGAGCTCCCTGGCGCGCGAAGCCCCGCATGGGCTCGCGGGGTCCGTCCTCGCCGTCGCTGTTGTTTCCCGCCGAGTCTGCCATGATGCCCGGTCCGCCCGGTTGAGCTCACCTGTTGTCGGTGTCACAAGAAGAAGAAGAAGAAGAAGAGGGGTGGAAAAAAAACAAAACAAAAAAAAAAAAGGTGGAGGGAAAAAAAAGCGCTTCTCTGGAGCGTTTTTTTCTTTCCGGAGCGGAGGAGTTTTAAAACGGGTTCAGGTTAGTTTCTGCTAGTTTGTTTGCTTTGTTTTTGTGGGTGTGTGTGTGTGAGGCTGTTTCGGAGTGTCGTCCTGCTGCTGAGTTGACGGAGCGCCGCTGCTCTGCCTTCACTCCGCTTCCTCCTTTTTCTTCTGAAAGCTCAACTGCAGCTGAGAGAGAGAGAGAGAGAGAGAGAAGAGGGAGGGAGAGAGAGAGAGTGAGAGAGGAGAGAGAGAGAGAAGAGGGAGGGAGGGAGAGAGAGCGAGAGAGAGGGGGGGGTAGGGAGGCAGAGGGAGAGAGAGAGAGCTTTAACCGGCTTGTCCATGACATTTCTGATGCCATAAGTGTTATATTAGAAGAATAAAAGCGTGTTGGTCTCTGACACTTTCAGCAGAAAGGGTGCAATTTAAGGAGTTCATCAAAGGTCATGAAAATAGAAAACGTTCATCTGAAAATGTAGTCATTGCTTTCTGATTTTTTGTCTTATTGGACAGTAAGGAGTCATCTAGTCTAAAAGAGAAAGAGGCTGATTCTAATATTGGAATAAATAAATAAATATTTTTTAAAAAATAAAGCATTATTTCTGCTTTACATAATGTAAATCTAAACGTTTTGCCAATTTCTGGATAAATGAATTTAATGAAAGACAGAGAGCTTTAACGTACTTTTCCATGACGTTTATGATATGATGTCTAAAAAAAACAGTGCAATTTTTGGCAATATGGAGGCCTCTAGGCTTAAAAAAAAAAATTTAAAAAAAGCAGCCTATAGAAAGAGACTGACTATAATATTGTGATTTTAAATAGCCAGTTCTGTAAAATAAATAAATAAATAAATAAATAAAAATCTGTGTTACATAATGTTAGTCTAAAAGTTTTGCCAATTTTCTTTCTAAATGAACTTAATGAGAAAGAGAGCTTTAATTTACTTTTTCATGACATTTATGTTATAATATATGATTTTTTTAAAAGTGCAATTTAAAGAGTACATCAAATGTAATGCAAATATAAAATATATTTTTTAAAAACAGAAATATATATAAATCTGAATTGTTGGTAGCACTGTTGCCTCGCAGCAAGAAGGTCGCTGGTTCGCATCCCGGTGGGGGCACCGGGATCTTTCTGCGTGGAGTTTGCATGTTCTCCCCGTGCAGCGTGGGTTCTCTCTGGGTTCTCCGGCTTCCTCCCACACAGTCCAAAAACATGCTGAGGTTAATTGGTGATTCTAAATTGTCCGTAGGTGTGAATGTGAGTGTGCTTGGTTGTCTGTCTCTAAGTGTAGCCCTGTGATAGACTGGTGACCTGTCCAGGGTGTCCCCTGCCTTTGCCCTAAGTCAGCTGGGATAGACTCCAGCCCCCCGCGACCCAAATGAGGATTAAGCGGTGTATAGAAATGGATGCTTCAGAACTTGAAAATTAGGTCGTTGAATGAAGTTAAAGTTGAGTTCATTCTACTCATTATATCAAGTTTATATGAAGCATCTGGAGACTAAGTTTCCTAATGTTCACTAAGAAGAAACTCTCTAAATATATGTTGAAGGAAAGATTGTCTGTAACATGTGTATGTGACTGGTTGATTCAGCTTAATGTATTAAACATACTGAGCTTGTTTTCTAAGGTTCAGTTCATATAACTCAACTACTTTTAGCCTTTCACAACTCACAAGATTGTTGAAGTAATCAAAATTACATTTTTAAGGTAGCACAATAATTCTAAGCTGAATGAACTTGCAATGATTTACAGTGTGTGCAATATTGGTAGTGGCCTAAATTTGCGAGAAAATTTGGTGGAAAAACTGCTTATTGAATAAATGAGTTTTGGGGCAACCCGTGAAATAAAATACCTGAATAGACACATGTCTGTGTGGATTCCCAGTAATCCGGGTCGTGGTCATTCTAAGTGCTTCAGTACAAGCAACTGAACTTCATTTCTGGTTTTTGAAGGCGTATCACCTCTCACCCAAGAACTGAGCAGACCTCGTGGATAAGAGGTGAAATATCTTCAAAAACCAAAAAAGAAGTTCAGTTGCCTTCTACTGAGGCACTTAGGAATATCTGACTGGCAAATCGACAGGCTTCACCGTGTCTTCTAAGGAACAGAAGACCTTTTCCAAGTTTTTTTTAAATCATTGCCAACATGTTGATATTTACACTAAGGTTTATTTCTGTTATCGCTGTTTTAATGTGTGTGAATGCCAGTGTTGTTTTAGATACACGTGAAGAATTGTAAACCTATACTTTAATGTTTTGAACCCCAAACTTGTCAGAGTCAGTAACTGTGAAAACAAAAAGAGTCATTGGATGTTCAGCTTTAAATGGTCCTTGAACTTATCATCTGCGACATGCAGTTCTTTCAGTAAGATTAATGAAATCTACACTTAAAATCATGATATTTCAGCGAAATCATTTTAGTCTACATGTCTTGTTGAAAAAATAAATAAATTGCTTTTAACAACTAAATTTGATTACAAGCTAAATAATTCTGTGCCCGAAATTCTGGGACTTTTTGGCTGAAATATAATGTAAGAGATGTGATGACAAATGATACTGAAAGAAAAATTACACATATCGGAACTAATAAATACAGAAAGGCTCAAAAATAGTATACAGAGGAGAAAGTTAGATAGTCAGCATGGTGAAGCATCTTTGTATTGTAAAAAAAAGTTTTAAAAAGGTATGTAGAGGTAGTAAAAATGTATAATTGTGAAATAGCTATGGAACGTAAAGCCCCATTTCTTCCAGTATGATTGTTCTTTTTCTATCGAGGTGCAGGACTTTATTATTGCCTCAAAAATGAACCCAAAGTGGGTAAAAAAAATTGACAGAAAAAAGATTTTACAGTGGTTCATCATATAGAATTCAATATCACCATGTGGTTTTGGTTCATTGTCATAATATTATCCACAATGATGTGTGTAAACAATACGATAAAATCTGCGGATGAATTTATAGTACATTATGCCATAGAATATATACGTCAACTCTGCCTTCAAATGAAACTGCGTTCATGTTTTTCACTTTGAATGTCGAGAACAAATTGTCATTCAGATGGAGACAAATCCTTAAGATTATTACAGTCTGAACCATTCCTTGTCAGAAGCTGACAAACAACTTCTACAAGGACGTCAAATTTGAAAAACAAGCTCATTTGACATGTGTTGTGTCAAACTGCGTTCCTATTGATCGTTAGAAACATTCAGTATGCGCCATTCTAACATTAAGTTTTATATGGAGCCAGTTATGTAAGTCCAGTATGTGGAGCAGCAGGAAAGAAAGAGAAAACATCATTTCTTACATATACAGTCAACAGTAAACACAAGGAATGATTCTCAATATCTGAAGCTGAAGTGTTCGCTTCCAAAAGGAGATATAAACATTTGGGGAAGGGAAAAAACACACGCAGCCACTCTACTCTTAGAGTCTGAGTGCTGGCATTGAAAACCAGCACAGTTGTTGAGTTCTGACTCATCCTAAGACTTTTGCTTTCAAAGGGATTTCGAAGGATCATCATCTGCGATTGTTGGACGCGTTTCATGTCACAAAGTTTTCCGAGATACATTTCAAAGGTATTTTTGGAATGAAACCCATCAATTACGACTTCCGGAGTCATTTGATCAGCAAATGTGGAGCTTTCAAAAAAAAAAAGAAAGAAAGGAGGAAAGAAACGCTAAGCACCTGCTCCTCTCGACGTAATAAATGCAGAGGGATGAATATACGATGCAGGAGCAGGTGTGAAGGCAACGACAGGCGAGCGTGGTCAACAGCGACATATTCTTCATTTACATGCAGCACATAATTGAAAGCAATGCAAGCATATTCATTAACAACTCATACAGTATCCCCCACCTGTTTTAAAGCTACAGCCTGTAATGTCACAACAACCATACTTTGAGCTGGTCTATGCAGTCCACACATATGCTCACACACAGTCAGCTGGCAGTGAATGACCTAGATGAGATTGATTTAGCTGCAGGGCAGATAACTGTGTGCAGCTCGGCCCGCTCTCGTCAATACAAAATTTACTGTAGATTTGCAAACCAGCTCAAATCCCTTTTTTTTTTTTTTAACCTTTTTTCCACTTTCTCTTACCTCGATCATTCACTTAACCTCTGATATTAGAAGTATTTTTACATAACTGTCTCGACTGTAAAGTAATTTGCAATGGTGACAGGCATCGAGAGACTCTGGTAGTGACACAAGCATGTCCCCCATAAGTACCTGAATTAGTGTATGTACAGACTGTGACTCATCATTTCACGTGTTATATCTCCTTCAGTGACATCAAACCACAGGATCTGATGTAACTTTTCCCCAGGTACTACTGAAATAGGAAGAGCTTCTATAGAGGCCATACAGCTTGGATATATGGCTGATGAAAGCTGGGTTTGTCACAAGTGCGATGGCCATTAAACCACAGCAAAGTGATCTTTTTTTTGTTTCTTTTGAATGATCTACTGGAATTGTCACATCTCCATTTTGTTGATTTGCCAAATTGGAGCTAACCTGTCGCTACTGAATTTGCGTTCACGCCACCAAACTGACATCAACACATACTTTGACATTAAAATTTTAAAATAATTAATTAACTAATTTGAAACAAACTTTTCAAATGTCACAAGAAATGTAGTAAATAAACTGCGATGTGTAATGTTTTCAGGAGGTGGCAATATTTGGTACGTTATGCATAACTGGAACAAATAGAGAAAATAATAATAGCAAAAAATATACCAACTTTGTTGGGAGATTTGAATGATATTACATTTTTTATAGTTAAGTGCTGCTACTGCAAGAGAGGAATGGTGGTAGAAAACTGTTAATTGTGTAAGTTAATATATGTGTTTTACCCCTGAGTGCACTCTTAATGCAGCCCCTTAATTCAAACGTGACAGCTGCACATTATAGCTGATGGACTTCAAACTTCATACATTTTAACACAATGAGGAATTTAGAACCGACGCTGCCTTATAATTAAGGTTACATGAAAATCACTTTAGCTTTGGTCAGATCAAAGGGAAATTAATGCTACTGATTGAATGTTCTCTGTAATAAATACCAGTAAATGAATGAATTTTCTGCTAGCTGCAATACCGGACTTGGCAGCAAACAGCGACACATTTATGCATTTTCCACAACAACAACTAAATGCATGTAGGTTCCCATGGCAACGCAATG